GCGGCCGTACGGGTTGCGGCGCGAATTGCTTTAAACGTAATTATTAGCAAATCCGGTAAAAGCGCGTTAAAAAAAAGGCTTTAAGCAAAAGCAAAGGGCCCGTTCCTTTACGGGGTTAGCCTTTGCCTTTTTTAGCAAAAAAAAGGAAAGCGGCGTTTTTTGCTCGTTTGGATTTGCTTCGAACAAATTTTTAAAAGCTTTAAACGTTTTTGGTATTGCAATTAAAAGCGCCGCAAAAGTGCCGCTTATGGTTGCAATTAGCATATCCGGTTTTAAAGTAAGTAAAAACCGGTTTGTTGCTTTGTAAAGTAAAGCAAGCTTTAACGGTTTTAAAAATTGTTTTTCGGGTTTATCGTTACTTTTATTTTTTACCGGCGGGAAATTATTGCTTTTCCCGGGCCGTATAAAGCCGTAATACAAATTGCTTATACGTAAAAAGCTTGTATTACGCATTTGCTTTACTTTATAACCATTTTTTAAAATATTTGGAATTAAAAATTTATACGCGTTTAAATCCGGCCCGTTAGCTAAATTTTTTGCGGTTTTAACTTTTATGGTTACAATAAAACCTGGTTTTTCCACCCCCAATTTTTAACTTTAATGCTTAGTAGCGAAAATGGGTATTTAAAGTTTTTCCGGTTAAAAAAGTCCTAACGTATTAACAATTCCTTTTTGGGTTGCAAGCAAATTTTTCGTTTCGTTATATTTAACCAGCAAATTATAAATAACTACGTTAATTGGGTTTTTTTTTGTTTGCTTTTAAAAAAGCTTTTTTATTAAATTTAACGTTTTTTGTAATTATTACTTTTTTTTTAACGGAATTTAAATCCGGTAAATGTTAAAAGCTTAATAATTTATTAAATATTTAACCCCAATACGAAAATTAACTTTAAAATGCTTAAAATTGTTACAGTTAGGCCTCTGCTCTTAAGGTAAGGCACCAAAAAAGTATCGAATAGTAGCATGTAATTTAACAAATTGAAGGGATTTACAAGGTAATTTGGGTGCGGTTTAAATGCTTGCTCCAAAGGTTACTTGGAAATTAACTAAAGTTTGATTAATACCAATGCTTTAGTTAAAAATTACTTAGGATAGTAAAAAACCATTCCTTTTTATACCTAACCTTTGTAAGCTTCCGTTTTTGGATTTGTAAGGGCTTTGCAAATCCTTTGGATTTGTAGCTCCGTAACAAATCCTAAAATCCCCGTTGGAATTTATTGCTTTGCAACAAATCCTCAAATCTTTAAATCCTTTTTATGTTACGTAACCTCCAGCGGGGTAGCCCTTCCAACGAACTTATCAGTCCTTTCTTTTAGCTTTTTGCCCGATTTATTGGTTGGTTGTAACATTAAGTCCTCCCTTTAATGGCCAAGCCCTTTTGGTTACGTATTATTGCTTGCCTCCGTCCTTTTTATTAATCGTAAGTACTTTTTTTCCTTATTATTTTATTATCCCTTTTTTTTTAACAAAATGTTTGGTTAAGTATGTAAGCTTCGTCCCGTTGCAAAAATTTTGCGTTAGTAAAAGCTTTTGGCTATTATTTTTTTTTTTTTACCAATATGCCTTTTTATTTTTACTGTAAATTTTAAAAGCGCGAAATTTGTAAAGCTTTTTTTTTAAACTTTTTTCGTTATACTAAATGTTTGCGGGTTAACCGTTTGGGTTGTAACGTTTTCGGTTTTTTTTTTAACAATTTGCGGCATATAATTTTTTAATACAATAAATTGGAAACCAAATTAATCGTTGCTAAAAAAAAGGTTTTGCGCTTGCGCAAATAAAAATGCATGTAATTAAAAAAGGTAATGCGTGCTATTCGTCGAAAAATTAATAACGTTAAGGAATTGGAACGGGTAAAACGTGAAAAAGGAGCGCAAGTTATTGCCGGAACGGCAGCCAGCCCTTTTTCTTTGCTTTACCCCGATTTCCTTTTTTTATTTTTTGGCTGGGCAACGTTAAAAGTTAATTTTAACCTTAACCCGGTAGCCTTTTTTCAATTTAATAAATTGTAATTTTTTAACAATTCCTTTTGGTTATATGGCGCAATGGTAACGCATTTGCTTTTGTAACGGAAAGTTTTGGGTTTAATTTCCGGTGCAACCGTTTTCGAAACCAGCCCATATTAGCCGGTATGGTTTTGCTCCGGAAACCTTTTTGTTTAAATCTTTCCATTAACTTTTTAATTAGTAAAGGTTTGGTATTAACTTTAATTTGCTTGCCATTTTTTAAATTGGTAAATTGTAACTTTTCCCAATATTTCCTTTGGTTGTATGGCGCAATGGTAACGCATTTGTTTTTAAAGCGGGAAATCCTGGGTTTAACTCCTGGTGCAACCGTTTTCGGAACCAGCCCATATCGGCCGGCATGGTTTTGCTCCGGGAACCTTTTTGCTTAAGCCTGCTAACTTATCCTTTGGATATGCTATAAAATCCTTTTTTTTTGCTTACCAAATTCTTTCGAATTTGGGGCGTTTTACAAGCATTTAAATTATTGCTAATTTTTTTCCAAACGATACGCTTGCAAAGCTTTTTGGCAATTTCCAAGGTTTGTTGCGTTTTTTTATGTATTGTACTTTTTATTTTATTTTTTTACTTAACGAAATATTGCTTTTTGCGGTAATGCGTTCGTTTGTTAAAAACGGTTTTAACTTTTTATTTTTGGTTAAGGTTAATTTTTATTAATTCGGTGCTTTTAAGGCTCGAAAGCGCTGGTTCCAGCAAAAAAACGTAAAAAATTGGGTAAATTCGTATAATTGGAAGTAATTAAAATTCGTAATTTACCGGAAAAATAATACAAATAACCCGAAAAGGTTTCCATTTTTTTTATCCAATTTGTTGCTTGGCCTTTTTATTTTAATATTAGCGCGTAAAAAGTAAGCGTTATTCCTTTCCTTAAAAATTGGTTTTTCGATTTTTTTTTTATTGGTTTGCTTTGTTATTTAATAGCGCAAAGTTTCCAATTTATTTTGGAAATTTTAATGCAATTTAGTAAGTTCCGTTATTTGGATTTCCGTTGCTAAAGCTTTAGGTTTGGTTTTAAATTTGTTATACGCCGTAAAGGTATACCCGTAATTGGCGTAAAACGGTATTTTTTTTATGCTTTTATGCATAAAATTATTGTAAGCAAATTAAGCAATTAGCAATAATTAAACCTAATTGCTTTGTTTGTAATTAACGTAATGGCGTAAGTATTATTTTATCGTTTTATTGGTTCGTTCCGTTTATCCGTTCGTTTGGGGGTAATACGCTATTAACAAAGCGTATTTTGCTCCAAAAAGCGCCGTAAGCGTTTTCCAAAATTTGTTTGTAAATAGTTTGTTTCGGTTTGTAATTAATTTTTGCGGTATTTCGTAATTTGTTATTACGTACCGGAAAAAAGCGTATACCAAAATTAACGCGTTATTGCTTTTTTTATATAATAAATATAAGGTATATTTTGTAAGCTTATTTATTATTATTAATATGCTATTATATTATATTCCCGTTAAAAACTTTTTAAATTTAAAAAGTTTAACGATAAAATCCATTATAATTTTTTGCTATGCCTTTTTAAATATTGGCAATGGTTAAAATAACCCGTAAAAAAATGTTTATTAAGCTTGTCCTTAGCGTACATTTAATAATCCTTTATTGCTTTTAGCATTATTGCCCGAATTTCGGTAAATTCGTAATGCTGCCGGAGCTTTTTCCATATTTTAATAACTTTTGGATAATTATGGGCTAGCAACCTATAAATTTCCAAAATCCTTTTTAAAGTTTAATTTTGCTTTTTAATTATTAAAGCCATTGCTTGCTAAATTGGAACCAATGCTTTTTTTGGCCCGTAAGTTAAAAGCGTTTTAGTTTTTTTTAAAGTAACGATTTTGTAATTGCTTTTTTTGCTTAAAGCGTTTACCTTTCCGTTTTTTAATTTTTTTTAGTACAAAATTTAAAAATTGTAATTTTAAAAATATTGGTTCCAACGAATTTAACGCTTGTTAAAGTTTTGGCTCGTAATAAAATGTGCTAAATTTTTATAATTAATATATACCGTAATTTGGTGGTTTGCTTTACACAAATATACTTTCCATTTTTTTAAAACTTTAATAATAACGAAAAGCTTTTTATTATAAATTTGGTAATTTAATTTAAATTTTTTAAATTTTTGTAAAAAAAAGCGCAAAAATGTAGCTTTCCTTTTTTATTTCGTTAATTTAATTATTTTCCAATCGCGTAATTTAATGCGTTGGTTTCGATTTTAAACGGTTTATTAAGGTTCGGAATAACCAATATTAGTTCCCGTAAAATTACGCTTTTAAATTGTTCGAAAATAGCTTATTTTCGTATTTTTTAATAAAATTGGGTATCGTTTTTGGTAAAATTGGTAAATAGCGTAGCGCTGCCATTAAACCTTTGCATAAACCGTTGGTAAAAGTTAAAAAAGCCCAAAAACGCCCGTATTTCCCGTACGTTGGTAAGCGTTAGCCAATTAGCCATTTTTTGTACTTTGGCTAGGTCCATCCTAACTTTTTTTAACGTAATAACAAACCTAAAAAAACCATTTTTTGGGTATGCTATACGCATTTATCCGGGTTAGCTAAAAGCTTTGCGTTTTGCAATTTTTGCAATATTTAATGCATATGTTGCCCGTGCTTTTCCAACGTTTTTAAATATATTAAAATATCGTTTAAATACGCTAAAACGAAAATATCGAAATGCTTTCGAAGCATATGGTTAATTATTTGCTGGAACGTAATTAACGCGTTGGTAAGCCCAAAGGTTATAACCAATAATTCGTACATGCCAAACCGTATTTGGAAAGCAATTATCCATTTTTATCCTTTTTTAATTTAAAGCAATCCATATGCTTTTTGAAGGTTCAAAGCCGTAAAGTACCTAGCTTTGCCGAATTTATTGCGTAATTCGTTAATAAAAAGCAAAGGATATCGATTTTTTATCGTGGTTTCGTTTAATGGTTGGTAATTAATGCATATTTGCTTTTTTCCGTTTTTTGGGCATAAATAAAATTCCGTATTTTATTAAAAATGTTAAAGGTTTAATTACCCCCTTTTTTAAATCCTTTTGCAATTGCTTTTTTAACCCTTTTTATTGCTTAAAATTAAGTTAATATAATTTTTAGTATTTAAATTGCGCATTTAGCTTTAATTTAATTTCGTAATTAAATGGCCCGTATTTTGGAAGCACCGTTTTTAGGTTTTTTTGAAATAACCTTTAATATTTATGGTATTTTGGAAATACATTAACTAATTGTTGTAGCTTTTGTTTAAATTTATTGTAAAACGTTATTATGGTTTTTTGTAATAAGGTTTAAAAATTGCTACTTTATTTTGTTTTTGTTAAAATACCTTTTTTTGGCTTTATTTTTACATTACTTGCGGCCCGTAATTATTAAACTTTTTTAATTGCTAATGGAAGCTTTTATTAAAAATCGTTTTTTTTTAATTTATTTTTAAATTATGTTTTTGTAATTACGGGATTTTAAAAACCATATTTTCGTTTCGTATTTTTAACGCGTTTAGCGTTATTTAAAAGGTTTTACCCCGGTATCGAAAATTAAAATAATTGGTTTTAATATTAATCCATCCGTTGTTATATTTAATAAACTTTTTTTTTATAATTTCGAAAAGGTATGGTTTGTTTTTTTTGCGTACAGGAATATTATATTGCAATATAATTTATAGCAATATGTAATTGCTTTAAGCTTTGCAATCGATTAAAGTTTTTAAGCAATGGAATTTTTATCGTACCCGTATATGGAAATGTTGCTTGTTTAGGCTAATTGTTATTGTTAAAGTTTTTGTTGCAAATTGTTATTTATTTTATGGCCTTATAATAAATGGATTCCTTAATTTTTTGTTACGAAATGCTTTATCCAAAGCATAAAAAGCTTTATTTCCCACTTTTTGCGTTATTCCATGTAATTTTGGTCGTTAAAATCGTTAAAAGGCTTGTAAATTCCTTTTATTTTTTCGTTAAATTTATTAAACGTATAAAGGAATGTATATTCCAATTGCTATGCTTTTGCTTTTTGGAAAGCGTAAATTCGGCATTTTAATTTTTTGCATTTTTGTTATTTTAAAATCCTGGCTATGCAAAGCATGGGTTATTAAAGGTTTATTTTAAATATTGCAAATTTCCCGTACTTTTTGGAAATGGTTTATTTTGGTAATTGCTATATTAAGCGTGGTTTGGTTATAATTTCGTTTAATTAACGTACTGGAAAAAAATTATTTTTAAATTTTTAAATTAAATGTACCGCATAATCGGTATGGTAGCACTTTGCTTAAAACAATTACAAATGCTTTTGGTAATTAAGGTTAATGTTGGAACCTACTTGTTAAGCGCATGCACAGGCTCTGGAGGACCGCCATGCACAGATCCGGAATCTGTGCACCGACTATCCAAAGCTCCTTTGTACCTATATAAAGAGGTTGGATCCGTCCCTTTTTTCCAGCAAGATTCCTTCCTCCTTAAACCTAAATAACAACAATTTAACTTAATTACCTTTTAATGATTATTAACCCTTAATTTTACGCCGTTTGGAAATCCACGAGCATAAGATTCCACCCTAAAGTCCTTTTTATATTAATTAATATTGCAAAAAGCAATATAGAAAAGCAAGGAAAAGGGTTTTTTAATTAATTAAGGTTAAGTAAAAGATTTAAAAGCTAAAAATTGTCGGTTCGACGTTTGGCAGCGCATTTTTTATTTGCTTTCGGTTATTAAAATCGAAAAAGCCCTAAAAAGGGGCGCTGTACGATCTTTTAAGCTAACACTTTAACCCGGTTTAAACAATTAGGACGGATTGCTTTAAATAATACCGCTTACTATTTTTTTTACCATTTTATTATGGAAAAAGGAAAATCCTCCGCTTACGCGATCTTTAATAAGTAAAATTAAAGCCCGATAAGCACAAAAATGTTTCGCGAAAAACAAGCACTTTATACAAAAAAAGTTATTAACATTTTAAACTTTTCTTTAAACTTTTTATCGATCCTTTATTTCCTTTTTTTTAATTACCCCGATTACAAAATCGTTAAGTACTTAACAAGCGTTTTTGCGATTGGCAAAAACATATGGATTATTAAGTGGATGTATAATAATTGGAAAGAATTAAATCCCAACGATACGTTAACCAATTTTAAAAAAAATTTTAGCGGTTGGATTAAAGCAAATTTTAACGCGGTAAATCCAACGATTTAACGATTTTTACAAAGCTATTTCCGAAAGCAAAGGATCCACCTTTTTACTTTTAACCTAAAAACATTCGGCGAAAAATTAGCGGAAATTTTTAGCTAATTACGAGCTTTTATTGTAAAACCAAACCTTACGCTAAGCTTAGCGTTACGATTAACCAAAAGCAAAGGTAAAAAGCCCATAAAATTGTTATTTCCGAACCCTATGCTTTCCCGTTAACCACCTTTTAAAACGTTTTTTTAACCAATTAATACAACGCAAAAAGCGGTAAAAAACGAACGATTACCGGAAGCATAATTTAAAGCGCAAAAAAGTTAAAAAACAAACTTTTTAATAATTTTTACAAAAGCATTAAGCAGGATAAAATTACCTTTTTGCTTTAACTTTCGAATTATATCGTTCCAAAAATAATAAAAACCGTAGTATACTTTTGCAAAAAAGCGTAAAAGCACAATTTTACCCTAATTTTTCCAACCGCTTTAGCTTACATAACCATAGCCAAAACACCCGTTACAAGCAAAAAAATAAAAGTACGAGGATTTCGTAATTAACGTTTCGAAGCGCAAACGCGCAAAAAAAAAACAAAAACCAAGCGCACGGAATATAAAACCATACCTTCCGCTTTCGTTACTTCGAAAACCGCCCTTTCGAAAACCGTTACCAAACCTTTTTAGCCATGCTTACCATTCGTTATATAACCAACCCCTTTACATTTTATTTCGTTACTTTTATACCAAAAAGTTTAATTATTGTTAAATCCTTTTACGGGAAATGGCTAACGCACCGATTAACGCAATTACCATACGCACTTTTAAAACTATTTAGGACAATACATATTTGTATACGGGAAAACCGTATAACATTATTAACGATAAGCTTTTCCATTTTACAATTTACGCTTAAATGTTCGGAATAAATTATTTATAACTTTACGCGCTATATTTTTACATTTTAAAAAGCAAAGCAAATAAATATTACGTTAATTACATTGGCTTTATATTTACTTTTTAAGCCATTTATTTTGCATTTAAAAATTATTTCGAAATAAAAATTGTGCAAGCCCAATATTAAATAAATTAAATAATAATCCATTTCCATACCGTTCGTTTAAAGCTTGCAAGCACCGGGAAAACGAATATCGAAATTTTGCAAAATTTTTTTAACAAATTGCAACGATATTACCAAGCGCTAAGCCCAAATTTTAGCAATAAATAGCAATTCGTAGTAAATATAGCAAGGGCAATTTAAAAAGTTCCCGAGCTCGAAATGGCGTTATTTAACCATTCCGATATTTTTAAAGGCTTTTCCAACATATTTCGCAGTATTATAAGGATTAAAAATAATAATAAAATCCCGGCACAACATTATACGGAACGGAAGTATAAAGGCAAAAATTAACGAAATTAATAAAAATAAGGATGGAAGCAAAAATAAGTTTACAACCCATATATTAAACGAAATTGTTAAATTTGCAAAAAGCCCAATTGTTAATTAACAAAACATCCAAAAAAAAAGCAAAAAAGGCACAGGAAGCGTTAGCGTTAAAAGCAAAAAGATAAAGGCAAAACCCCAATTAGCTATTGGAAATTCCTTTCGATTATTAAACCAAACGATTTAAAAAGCGAAAGCGCATTAAAAAAGGATAACAAAAAGCTAATTAACAACCATAATTACGAAAGCAACCAAAAGGAACATGCAATAACGTACTTTATACAAAGTATAACATTGTACTTTATAAACGAATTATAAAAGCACCGTTTATTTGCAAAAAACGCTTAAAAAGTATAAAAAGCTAGGATTAAAGCTTTTACTTACGAAATGCTTATTTACAACAACATTAATAACAATACCTAATGGCACGGTATCCTGCCAAATACCGGCGCGGCAACCAATTTAACGGCTGGAATTAACCAAATTCGAACATTGCAACAGTACATAAAAAAGCTTAAAATCGATTACAAAGCACCCAAATATCCTATAGCTTTTGGAACAAAAAATACCGAATTTAGCATTGGCGCAATTACTGTACCAACCTTTATTAGCAACATTACGTTTTACGTTTTTAATAGCTTAATACCATTCCTTTTGTTACTTAAAGATATAAACGCGTTAAATATATATTTTAACAATACGCGCAACGAGTTCGTAAAGTATAACGGAACGCGCGTACGGATTATTAAACGCTTCGGTTACCCATGGTTTTTTTTTAACGCATCGATATACGTTATAAACAAAATTTTAATGGCCGCTAAAAAAAAAATTGCGGGATTTTTGTTTTTAACAAAAACCAAATTACAACGCGTTTACAAACGATTTAGCTACCTTTCCGTTAACAAATTGCATAAAACCTTCCAACGGGCAAACCATAATACAAATCGCAACGCGCTGGAAATAATTAATAAAATGTGCTACAAATGCTAAATTAAAGGAAATGCACCATAACGATTTAAATTTACGTTAAAAAACGACAAAGATTTTAATTACGAAATTGTTGTTAACGTTTATTATTTGGGCAACAAACCGGTTTTTTATATAATTAATAAAAGCACAAAATTTAATATTGCAGCAATTTTAAAAAACCTATTTGCAAAAAAAACTTGGGAAATTTTAAAACGTTGCTGGATAAATGTTTATTTAAAGCCTTTAAACGTAATTACTTACAACGCGGGAACCCACTTTTTAAAAAGCGGTTTTTAAATTAAAGCAAAGCTTTTCGGGATTATTTGCAAACAAATTCCCGTCGAAGCCTATTACGCCGTTAAAAAAATTAAATAAGCGCATAGTATATTACGCAAAGCGCATTTAATTATAAAAGCCAAATGCCCCGATTTTGCGCTAAAATTACAATTTTAAAAAGCTATAAAAGCAATTAACAATATTGCGGAACCAAACGGTTTGGTTTTAACGCTGTTCGTTTTTAAAACCATGCTACGGATAAACCACGAATTACTACCGTTATTAACCATAACCAAACGCGCGCAAACAATTAAAAAGGCTATAGCAAAGCTTTAAAAAGCAATTAATAAAAAAAAAGTTGCAAACGCTATTAATACCCGGAATGGCCTTAATATTAGCACCGTTAAACCAAACTCTTTCGCTTTTAAAACAAAGGTTTTAATATTCCGGGAAAAAAAAGGATGGATAAGCCCGTACAAAATGGCAATGGTAACAAACAATAACGTTACGATCGAAACCGTTAACGGTTTGGTAACGTTTAAAAGCACTTTTATTAAGCCTTACTATTAAATTAAAAAATAGCTAAACAATAAATTAAAAAAGCAATAAATCGAAATTCCAAAACCATTTATTTACCCCGAACCGGCATAACCAAAACAACGCGAACGCTTACCAAAAAACAAAATACCGGCATAACCACGAAATCGATTAAAACCGCTAACGCCAAATGCAAAAAGCAATAAGCCTTTAAAACCAAAGGAACGATTAAAAATTAAGCTATATAATAAAACGTATTTATTACTTAAAAAGGCAAAGGCTATGCGTTTATCGATCGAGTACAAAGCAAAAGGCTTAATTAAAATTTTAAAACCTTCGTTTTAAAAAGCCGATTGGAACGAAATAACGTTTTTATTTAACGCCGGAATAATTGTAGCAATTCGTAAAGGCCAATTTCCAAACGCCAAAATTTTTGGAGCACGTTTCGTTAAAAAAATAAAAGGGATACCGAAAGCTTTTTACGAAAAAACGAAATGCGTAGCTTAAAGTATTAATAATAACGAAAAAAAAACCATTTTAACGCAAATTTTTACGATTATGCGTTGCAACCAACGGTTAATTTTTGCGTTTGTACCAAACTTTTAAAACCAAAGCATTTTATTAATAACCCGGAACATTACCCAAGCGTACATTTAAAGCGCGACCGATTTCGAAAGGACCGTTTTGCTACGCTTACCCAAAAAATTACGCTTACGTTTTTTTTATAGCATTTTGCTTCGAATCGTTAAGCCTTTATACGGTTTAGCGAAATTAGGATTGCATTGGTACGCTACGTATTAAAAGCATTACAAAAAGCGGCTAAATTGCAAATTGTTATGTTACAATCCGTATTTCCTTATTACAAAGCGCGATATAAGCTTTGGAATAGTAAAAATGCAAATAAATAATACGTTAAACCTGGGAAATTAAGCATTTATAAATTTCGAAAAAAAAGCGCTCCAAAAAGCGGGGTTTAAAGCAAAACCACGCTCGATGCTTACGGAAAAAAAACAAAGCGATTTTAACGGGGAAAAAATTATGGTCGAAAAAAACAAAGTTAAATTAAAGCAAAAAAACCAAAGCGAAAAATTGGAGCTTGTAAACGCCAATTTAAAAAGCTAAAAGCAATAATTCGTATTTTAAAAAGTTTGTAAAGCGTACATTAGCTTTATATGCTAGCCCAAAGCAGCTTTTAATTACGCTTTAACCGCATAAAAAACAAACCCAATATAGGAAAATATCGGCAAGTTTAACAAAAGGATTAGTTAGCAAATCGAAAACGCTAACAAAAGCTTAAACAACATTTTTATTAATTTCGAAAGCGCAAACCTTTACATTTTCGTAAATAAATCCTTTGCAAATAATAATAACATATTTTTGCAAATCGGGTTTATTTTTATATTAAGCAATAAAAGATCGAACGAGCATTAAACCAATTTTTAATTGCGCGGCAACATTTTGCACTGGATTTTGGTTAAATGCAAAAAAATTACAAAAAGTATGCTAGCCAATAAAATTTACGGTATGGTTTTTAAATTTAATTCCGGTTACGTTATAAAAAAAACCTGCTTAACGATTTTTAAACGGCTAAATTTTATCCGACCCAAATTTATCCTTTGTACCAATAACTTTTCGCTTTATTAATGCTTTGTTTAATTAAGCACAATAGCAAAAAAAAAGCTTATAATTAATTTAATAGCGCTTCGAAAATCCTATAAAAATAAGGAAATTAACGAAATCCGTTGGATCGCCGGAACAAACAATCCGGCAAATGCAATAACAAAGGAATAGCCAAACCGGGCATTGGAAAAGCTGGTAAGCATTAATACAACTTCGATCCGAATCGAAGGTTAAATTAACCGCACCAAAATATAAAAGGAAAATTTGGAAATAAAAATCGGCATGTTAAAATTTTTACGGTAATGGCTATGTAATGGCTTTAATAAAAAAAGGAGCAAAAAAACCCCAAACCAACGCGCAACGAGCACCAAACCATAAATTAACAAAAAGCGCAAAATTAATACATCCATTCCATAACGAAACCATTATAAAAAAAGCAAAAAAAAACCAATTTTTAAGCTCCCACGTTTAAACATTACCAGCATTACCCGAGCCAAAAGCAATAACTTTGCTTTTAGCAATAAAAATTCCTTTTCCCTTTTTTTCCTGCCTTTTTTACTTTTTAATAGCAATTGCAAGCATAGCAACGGAATCCTTAAGCTTTATAAACGTTATAAAATAAAGCTAATTATTATTGCTATTATAATTTTTATTTTTTTATCCGCATTATCGTTTTAAGCGGAAAAACTTTCGCTTAAAGTTCCGAAAAACGCGGTTTTATAAAAACGAAAAGCGGCCGAACGCCCCGTTTCGTATCGCTAACCCGGAATTATAATTAAAAAATTGGCATTTAAATTGGTTTATTTAGCATCGAGCTTAAAAAGTTGCTTGGTAATGGTACGCTATTTTTAAAGTATTTACGATCGAAAAAATAACGTTAACGAATTGGTAAAGCATAGGATATATAGGATAAAAATAATATACCGCATTATAAAGCTCGTTGTAAAGCGCTTTTGCAAAAAACTTTATAGCAATACGATAAGCAAACGGAAAATTAGCAATTATTAGCGCAAAAAACCCGGAAACGAAAAAAAAAGATTTTTATATGGGCTTGCACGAATAACCAAAAATATAACGCTAATAACGTTTGTTATTAAAGCCTAACTTTTTAATACAAAGCCAAGCCATATCCTTTTTAACGCTAAATTTGCCGTAAAGCACGGAATTAAAGCAGCCAAAGCAAATCGTCGCTCGATTAGCACCTTTTTTACCGCGCTTACGAATATTAAAACCATTACGGCCATTGCGGTAAGCGGCACGCTTTTTTTTGCAACCGATAAAAACGGCTGGAACGGCCGGAACGGGCGCGGGCGAATTTTTAAGCACAAATTGTAATACCGAAAACGAAAAAAGCTTGTTAAACTTTTTAACGGAAAAAAATATGGCTTAAGGGTAAATTGTAAAGCTTCATTTTGGAACGATACAAGCAGTTAATTGCTAATTTTAAGCTTTTTTTAATAAAATAGCGTTTTCTGGAGCGTGGTCGAACGGATTTTAAGCGTTCGAGCCAAGCGAAAGGTTTATAATGCTGTTAAAAAGGTTTAAAGCACAAAATTAAATAAAAAAAAATGGAAAACGACAATACAACGAACGCACGAATTGCAAACGACAATCCCGAAGCGCACGTAACTAATTAAATTGGCTTAAAAAACGGGGTTGTATATATATAAATTTATTTACCCTTTTGGAGCTGTATAGCCCATAAGGAGCACTACGGATCGGGGTAGCTATTTAAAGGTAAAAACCGTACTTCCAGCTAATAGCTATTTGGTATAAAGCCGGGTAAAAATTCCTTTTTTTCGAAATATTTTTTATTTCGCGTCGTTTTCGTAAGTAATTGTTTGTAAAATGTTTTTCGCATTTCCAAACGTTCGGTAAAAAAAAAAGTTGTTATTGTTCGAAGCGAAATATCGTGGTTCGGTCGGAAATTAATTCGTTCGTTGCATTTAGGTTGTATTATTGGGTGCACGTTTTCGTGCCAATTTAAAGCCTTTCCGTCGCTTTTTCCTTTTTTATTAACTTTAGCAAATAAATTAATATATTGCGGCCTTTTCCGCTTTTTTTTTTCAATCCTTTACGCAATTTTACCAAAAAATATTATTAGCAATTGCAAAATAGCAATAGCAATAACCGTTATAAATCCTTTTTTTTTAGCTTCCGTTACTTTGCAACCCATTTAACGTTTAATTGTAAAACCGCACATTCCCAACGCTTCGTTAATATTTCGCTTCGGCTTTTTGCAATCCGCGATTGCACCATAACGCCTAAAAAGAAAAGTAATACAAAAAGGCTTGCTTTACCTTTTTTTAAAGTAACGGGCGATTTTAAAAAGCGCAAAGCCCGTTGTTTGTATATGGTTTTTTTTACATTTTTGCAATTTTTCGCTAATTTATTTTAATGTTTTTAGCGGTTTAACTAATTGTATTACGTGCATACGCATAATAGCCCGCAAAATTAATTTTAATAAAGCTTATATGCAAAATTTTAATAAATTTTTTTCGTTATTTTTTTAATTTTATTTTTTCGAATATTTCGTTAATGGGTTATTTCGGTTTAAATTCCAAATCGAAAAAATGTATATATTATTATTCGAAAAAAAAGGTTAGCAAAAACGGACAATGCATTTTTGCGCTAAAAAAGGGCGTTTCGGAATCGGGCCAACGTATGTTCGATGCCGCGAAAAAGTTTAAATTCGTAGGTTTTGCTTTTATTGCCGATAATAGCTTTACGAACCGCAAAAAGCATTACGTTTGGGCGTTTAACTTTACGGGTAAAGTAAAGGCTATAAATTTTTTTTTTGCTTTATTATATTTTTTACGTTCCCGGTGCGTTGCTAATATTTTGGATAGGATTGGAAAGCTTGGTTTTTTTAATACGAACGCTACGCTTACGCCGAATTTAAAGCTATTTGCGAAGCGTATTTCCCAAACGATACCCCGGCCCCGGTAAAACCTTCCCGTTATTTTGCGGGAAACCCCGGAATCGAAATTTGCCGCAATATTATTATTGCCAATATTTTTATTAAAATGTTTTTCGTATTCGATATCGTTTTTAATTATTTTTAGGCTGGGCGTAACGGGCTTAACGATTTTACGTTAATAAATTGCGTTAAAGCTTATACGCGAAACGTTTAATTTTGTTAAAATATTTACGCTTAATTTTATAACGACGTTATTAAATTTTTTAATTGCTATAACGAATATTTCGAAAAAGTTACCCCCGCCGATTTTTTATAGGTTAATAACGGTAATAATAACGGTAAAAATAATAAAATGGCGAATAACTTTTTTTCGGTAATTGGTAATTTTGCGGTTAAGCTTAAAAAAAAGAACGATACGGTTAATTTCCAGCTTATTAATAAATTTGGTTAAAATAAGGTTGCGGGTTTAGCCGGGGTTATTGCGGCGGCAACGGGGGCGGTAAAAAAGGTATCGGCGGCGCCCGAAGTAACAATTAAAAAGGCAGCCGCTGCTGCATTCCTTTCCCTTTCCCAAGCGCTTTCCCGCAATTTTAACGAATCCAATTTCGATTTTAAAAATAAAAGCGATAATATGGCCGTTTAAGCGCTATATACCCGGCGATTCGGATTTTTTATATTTGGGATTTTAAAAACAATTTGCAGCGATTCGCTTTTACGGGCGTAAATAAGTTTTCGCTTTTTAGCGTTAAAATAAAAGGCTACGTTATTTTGCTTGTTAGTATATAATATTGTTAGTAATTAATAAAATTGTTGGAAGGTTTTTTTAACGAAATCCAATGTGGGTTTGGCTTTTTGGAATTGGGGCGGTTAAGCCCTTTGTTTCTTTTCCAAATTCGCCGTTTCGTTGCGGCGTTTAACGTTTTTTTGTTTTTTCTTTTTTTTTTTGCTTTTTCCGCTTACGTATCGATAATATTGCTTAATAAAGCGTAGCTAAAAAGCCGTTTTGTTTTTATAAACCATTTTGTAACGATTGTTGCTTCGTTTAGCTGGTTTAGCAAGGATTTTGCCGCTTTTTTTATTGCTTAAAAAAGTTCTTTTTTTATTTTTGCAGGTTTGGGCAATATAGCAATACGTATGCTACCGTTTCCGGGTTTTAGCCGTATTAATACGTTGCGGTTACGCCGGGGATTTTCCGGAAAGCTAAATAGCTTTAAAGCTTTAGCTTTTCCGTTTTTAGCTAAACCAGTAACAAGCTTTGGGTTTTGTAAAAATTGCGGTAAAGGCTTAGGATTTTTTCGTTGGGCTATTTTTTATTGGTTTTAGCGCTTTTTTTAATTGCCGTAACGTAATTATGTTACTTTTCCTTTTATTTTTTTAGCACCGCTATTTTCGGGTCCGATTTTTTAATTTAATTTAGCGCTTTTTCCCGTTAACGGAATAACCGCGTAATTGCAACCGTAAGCTTTCGTTTTTTGTTTTTTAATTTCCGTTGTACCTTTTTGCAAATATTCGCAATTTTTTCCGCTAAATTGCCCTTTTTTAGCTTTTTTTCGAAATGGGCAATGCAATTATTTAGCCATATTTAAATCGGGGTTATATGCGTTTTTAATTTTAGCAATTTTTATAAAGTTTTTTTGTAAGCCCCCGTTATTGTTTTTAAGCAATTATTTTACGTTTTTGCTTACGTTTTGGCCATTTTTTTAGGCCGCAACGGGGTAGCGTCGAATTTATAATAAATTGGGGCCGCGTAATTTAATGCTGCTTTAATTACGGTTAAATACAAATGTTTGGTTTTGGTAAATGTAAATCTTTACGTTATTGCTGCTAAGCGCGTAATAAATAACATTTGGGTTGCTATTTTTTTGCGCATTTTTTAAATGTATTGGGTTTAATTTAGTTTGGAATTAATTTAAAAGCTTAATATTTGCATTGCTTTTTTTGTCGTTTTTGGTTTTACCGTAACCTTTTCGAAACGGAAAGGTAGCGTTAGCGCGGGTTTTTTCCTTTTTATTAACCAAACCAATTAGTATTTAGCCGGGTCGAATTTTATTCCAAATTTTTTTGCCCATTCCAAGTATACGTTATGGGCGGTTTTAAGTTTGTTAATTGCGTTTATCGCATTACGGTTAAAGCTAATTAAATTGGTATTATTTGCGAATCCCGTAACCGCAACCCTTTTTACTTCCCGTAGCTTTTTGTACAAATTTGCCGTATAAATAATAAAAAGGATAGGTAATATTGGGAACTTTTGCGGGATTTTGCATGGAATTTTATTTTTTGCCGTATTTTTGCCGTTAAAAAAAAGTATTGTTTTTCGATTGTTTAAAAAGCTTTTAAAAAAATTTAAAATCCATTATAAAAATTGGTATTTTTTTATTTTATTAAAAAAGCGTACATATAATACGGTATTAAAAGCGCCGTTTATATCGAATAATAGGAAATTAACCATTGCTTTTGCGTTTTAAACCGTATTTACCACTTTTGTAAGTAAACGCATAACCGTTTCCGTAAATTTGCATTATTAATTGCCCATTTATTTATTAAAAAATAATTAATAGCTTTTTGCGGCGTTTTTAATACAAAACGCCAAAAAAAATTTTAACGCTTTTTTTATCGTTTTTAAAAAAGCAATTGGCTTTTACGCGCCCAAAGTATTTGGGTTTTTATTGGGTTTTTGGAAAATAATGGTACGGAATTTCCGGAACCTTTCCGGAAAGTAACCGCGGTTTACGCATGCCGTAAACATTTTTATTAATGCTTCGAAAAGTGCCGGTTCCATTGCTAGCAATTTTTCGGTAAAAATCCCCGTTAGGCTTAAAGCTTTTTAATATTTTATATTTTAAAAGGTTTTTTTTACGTTTTTTGCGGTAATTTTTTTACGAACGAATAAAGGTTAGGAAAGTAATTCGGGGTATTTGGGGATATTAATAATATCCGCCGTTAATATAAAGAAAAATTTCCTTTTTAAGGTTGTTTTTTTCGCTTTTTTTGTTGCCGTTACCTTTCCGTTTGGTAATTTTAACAACGGGAATAACGGGGGGGGAAAAGGTCGGTAACTTTTATATTTTGCCCATTTGGCAATGGTTTATATGCTTTTAACGTTTTGTATAATGTTCGTTTCGTACATTGCGGTACGTTACGTGTACCTTTTCGTTATTTTAATAACGCTTTTTTTTTTTGGTAGCTTTTTTTATTATTGCGTAATTGGTTTCCGAACGGTTTGCTTTTTACGTTAATTCGGCCCGGTATTTGTTGCGGAATAATTAAAAAAAAATTTCCGTTTATTAACTATAGCTTTCGACTTTCCCTTTTAGCTTTGGTACGGTTAAATTGCGGATTTTTAATATTGCTTTTGTAATGTTATTTATTTTTTCGTTAATTGCTTAAAAATCGATAAATGGTTGTAACGAAAAGGAAATTTTATCGTTCGTTAAGGATTTAACGAATTTTTTATCGATTTTTTTCCAATTCCAGCCCTTTAAAGCTAGTACGTAAAAGTTCGGAATGGTTTTTAAAATTGTAATTACCATCCCCGTATAGTTGCTGTTATTTTAACGCCATTTCGACGGTTATTGGGTTTTTAACTTTTCGGTAGCCCAAATTAAATCGATAGTAATGTTTTTGCAATAAAAGGCGAATTTTGTTATTGCGTTTTAGCAAATTATTAATTGCATGCTTTATAGCTTCGCTAAATTAACCAATTTAAAAGCCTTTGCGTGCATTAATGCGTTTTTTGGGCGCTTCGACATCCATGCTTTATAGTAAAAGTTAAAATCCTTTACTATTAAATTATTACTTTTTGGTTTTTTTCCGGCAAGCTTGTCGATAAATATTATTTAATTTATAATGGTTGTGCTTTCCGGAAACGGGGAATAAACCAACCAAATCGTTATATTTTCGTTTTGGGTACCGATCGTAACTTTGCACCAATCCGGTTTTGCTTTGTAATTTAAAATACGTAGCGTTAATTTAACATAAATAATCGCTTTGGTAATAAAAAAAAAGGGGGAACAAGCTATAATGGTAAAAAAGGGGAAAGCGCGTTGCTTTTTTTTTAGCGGTTTTAAAGGGATTCCGGTGGGTTGCCGTATGGTTGCTGCGGGGTAAAGTTATATATATATTGGATTAGCTTTTTCCCGGCTTACGACGGGGATTTAGCATTCCCTTTTAAATTTTTTGGTGGCTTTTGTATTGCCAATACGTTAAAGCTGCTTTTTTTCGTTAATAATGCATTAAATACTTCCGGTTTTTTCGTTACGTTTTATTAAAAAATTTTAAGCATTGGTTTTTTCGTTAAAAAGGTCCTTTTTTGCTTTTGGGGGGGGCGGTAACGTCGACGCTTTTTTTTTATATAATTAAATGCTAAAGGATTGTATGTTATTGGATAATTGGGAAAGGGTAAGGCTTTTTTGGCTAATTTTTTTTGTTACTTCCCGTAGCGGTGAAAGGGACGCGGGTATCGCCGGGGAAATGGGTTTTGTCGAGGGGTTTGCGGGGGGGGTGCGGGGGGGAAAAAGCTTTGGGATGCGTAAGCTTTAATTTTTTACAAATAACGTAATAATTGCGTTTTTTCGTTTTGCCGTATGGAATTTCCTAAGCTTTTTTACAAATCGTTCGGCCAATTTTAAAAAATTCTTTTTCCGTTTTATGGGTAAGGTTAATTAAAAAAAAGTAATTTTAACTTTGCGTTAATTTCGTTGCGTATAAAGGTTTTTTTGGTTAACGGGGTTATATTTTAAATTGCTATTAATATTTAAAAAGAGGTTGTTACAAAAAGGCTATTGCTTTTTTTATTTAATCGGTTCCTTTTTGCTTTCGTATAAAAGCTATTTTTTCCCGGGGTAAAAAGGGGAATTTTGCCCGCCCCGCTTCCGGCGGCAATCCGGTTCGTAACAATTTCGAAATAAAAATTATCGGGATTTCGTAATAAGTAAGCCTTGTAAGCCAAGCTTTTTTTTTGCGTTATTGGATTTGCTTTTGCACCGGGCAATATAAAAAGTAAAATGGGTATTTAGCTTTGTTGCACGGAATACAAAATGCCCCAAATATATTTTTCGGCAACTTTTTTGCTATTTCCTTTTTTTTTTATACCGCTTATTGTTGTATTCTTTTAATTTATACCACGTACACGCCGTAATTTGCTTGCATTGCATGCTTTTATATTTTTAATTTAAATAGCGATAGCATTGCGCCGTAATTAATTTAAGGTTAAAAGGTTGGCATTAATATGTTAACCCATTCCATCGAAAATAATCCTTTTGCAAATTTATTGCGCTTTTTAAATTTGCAATTTAAAATAACGCCGTTACCTTTTTTTTGCTACCTTTTTTTTTTATAACGAAATAATAACCCGCTCGATATTTCCATACGGGTTTTTAGCGCTAAATGCTTTTATTAATTTTAATTAATATTTTGCTTTGCTTTTATCGTTAAAAAAAAATCGGAATTTGTTAATTGGTAAGCCCGTTATTATTAAAATTATTGTTGGTTTGGTAATTTTTAAACCGTTCGTTTGTTTGGTTGTATCTTAAACCGCAAAAGGCGCGTATTACGTCCGTAACCGGTTCGTTGCGGCGGGGTTGCCGTAGCTATCCGCAACCTTTTCCATGCTTTTGCTTATATCGTTCGTTTCCGGCCCGGGCCGGCATTTTTTTTCCGTTTGTTAACGGGTACTAACATTTTGAAAATGCAAACGAACGTTTTTTAACGGGTGCTTATAAACCGTTTTAACCTAACTTTTATTTAATTTTTTATTGCAAATCCGTTTAATTTTTTCGGGTTTTATTTTTTTAATTTTTTTACTTTCGGTAATAATAAGGATTTTATTGTTAATTGTAAATGCTATCGCTTTTTTGGCTTTTATTGCTTAGGGTATTTTGGGAACGGTTTGCGCTTTTGCGGTTATTTAAACCCAAATTTGTTTTTTACCTTTTCCGTTTGCGGCCGTAATTTGTTACGTTTGGTCCTTTTTTTTTAATATGGTTTTAATTTATTCGAAAAATTGGAAAATCGTTTGGGTTACGTCGGGGTTAATTGCTAAAGTTATTAAAATTGCGATCGTTTAATTGGTCGTTTTAACGTATCAAACGAATTTCGCAATAATTTCGGCGGCCGTAATTTTTTTTTTTTTTTATTAAACAATTGAAAATATTTTTTTGCAAATTGCATTATTGTAATAATTAATTGGGTTTTTTTCGGGCTTGCAATTAATTTTTGTCGTAATCGTTATTGGTTTAAGTAATTCCCGTTGCGTATTGCGTATTTCGATTGGTTAAAACCAATAGCCTTTTCCATTAACGCCGCAACGGCGCTTCGGGGTATTATCGAATTCGTTTAACCCTTAAGCAAATTAGCGTTTCCGGTTTTCGTAATGGCTTTAGTTTTTTTGTATGTCGTTGTCGTCGTTGCGCGCAAGCAAAAAACGTCTTTTTTAACTTTTATTGTTTAAACGGGGTTGTAAAAGGAAAAAATTAAAGTAATTGGATCGATAATTAACGGGCTAAATAAAGGTTTACCGCTTTTTGTCCGTTAACTTTTACTTTCGCTTTTAACGCACCCATTTTTAAACATTACAAAAACTTTCCATTTAATTTACATTAATCCCAAACGCTTACAATTTTAAATTTATTAATTTCGGAGCTTTAAAACCGGAATTTATATAATTCCCCAAATTTCCATTTACGTTTATTGTTTAATAGCAATACGTATCCGGCGAAACAATTCGAACAAGCATTTTCCTTTTACATATTACCCAAATTGCTAATTTAGCAAATTATTTATTATTGCGCATTTAAACCGCAAATTTTTTTTATCCGTTTTACCATGCAAGCGCAACCAAAAAAAAAAATAATTGGTATTGGAACTTACTTATTAAGCGCATGCATAAGCTTTGGAAAACCGCTATGCACAAATCCGGAATTTGTGCACCAATTATCCAAAGCTCCTTTGTATTTATATAAAAAGGTCGGATCCGTCCCTTTCTTCCAGCAAAATTCTTTCCTCCTTAAACCTAAATAACAACAATTTGACTTAATTACCTTTTGATAATTATTAACCCTTAGTTTTACGCCGTTTGGAAATCCACGAGCATAGGACTCCACCCCAGAGTCCTTCCTACAGTTAATGCTATTGTAATTGCTTTTTTTTGTGCTGTTTTGCAACTTTTTGGGCCATTTTTGCTTGTACGCTTGTAGCTTGGTATACCCCCAATATGTTACCGGGTAATCGCTTTTAAACCAGTTAATAAAATGCCCAAAATCGTTTTTAGCAAGTGTTGTTTCGTAAATTATACCGTTTTTGTCCGGTAAATTGATATCCCAAAAGCATTATCGAATTTGCGTTCGGTTCCAAGCCACTTTACTTTTTTGCTGGATTACGGCTATGGAACGTGCTAAATGCTTGCTTTTGTTTAAGCGCTAAAGCTTAATCCCACCTTATCGAAAGGTATTGTTATTAGCGTTTTCGACGTACCCTTTTTCGTAAAGTTGCAACGCGTTTTCGGCTTTTAGGAATTATCCTTTTGCGTATAACCAAAAAAGTTTTAAATCCACGTTAAGTTATTGGTTGTACGTTTTTAACGTTTTTTTGGTATACGCATTTTGTACTTTTTTAAATAATATATTTAAAGCTTTGGCATAATGTTGGAAGCGGCTGTAATTTTTGCTGGTATTGCTGCCGTTGTTAAACGGGTTGTATTTAACCGTTACCCGTTTTTGGGATACCGGAACCTTTGTAAGCTTGGGTAAGCTTTGTTCGTTTAAATTTTGCAACATTTTTATTATATCCTTTATAATAAAATCGCTATTTATTTTTTTATTTTCCAAATCGATAAATGGTAGGAATGGGCTGGTTATAAGCCCGTTTCGAGCCATTACAACGTTCGTATCGCTATCGAAATCCGTTCCTTATGCTTCGGTAATTTAAATGGGCCAAATAAAATCGCTAGCTTTAACCCAAAGGTTTGGGCTATTTTTGGTTTAAGCAACGCCGTTACCCGCTTTTAATTTTGCCACCAATAAATTCGAAACTTTTTTTTATTTCGTTGCTCGTATTAAATTTTTAAACGAAAGGGACCGTAAATCCGGGTTTTCTTTAACGTATTTATTAATCCAAATTTGGTTATTTTCGGCGTTAAAACTAATGGGGTTATTGTTGCAAAATGCTACAAGGTTTTTTCGTTTAATTACGGCCAGCCGCTTGCAAAAAAACCATTTTATTGCATTTTTATCGAAATGGTAAGCAACGCAATGGTTATTAATGCATGCAATTTAAAAAAACGCGGGGCCGGAATAACCATTATTTTCCAATCCTATTACCACTTTCTTGGTTGCTGCCGCCGTTCTGGTTTTTTTATTCCAAAACACTTTTTTTTGCTTTTTCCTTTAAAAGCAATCCTTTTTAATATGCCCAGGTTATCCATACTAAAAGCATTTGCCATTTTTAAAGTTTTGGAATTTGCGTTTCCTTTGCTTTTAATGCGTAGCGCTAACGTTAAAATCCATAAAGCCAAAGTAACGGCCGTAAGCTATAAATTTGTTGCGGTTAAACCGTTGCTGTAATTGGTTGCTTTGCATTACAAATTTAATTTTTTGGCCTTTTTTTTTCCAAACGGCATTTATACAATTTATTGCTAGTTTTAATTGCAATAATAACGTATTTAGCAAAAAATTCGGGTTGGTTAATTTTTAAAACTTTATTTTTTACGTTATTTCGGAATTTATTGTACAAATGGGCCATTTTGGTTTGGTTAATTTAATCGAATTTATTAGCAAAGCGTTGGAAATTGAAAACGTATTTTAACGTTGCGCTTTTTTATCGAAATTAAAATATTATTTTTTTTGCAATTCGTTATTTATTAATTTAACCAAATACGTTAATAATTTTTTTTTTAAATCGAACGAAATTGGCAAAAATAATTTTAATTTTTTTTTTGCTTTCGTTATAATTTTTAAAAAAATTTGCCCATATAAGTTTAAACCATTTTTTAATTTTGCTTTTAAAATAAATGGTTGCGTAAACGACCCTTTGCTATTCCGTATTAAATTGGTTATAATAAAAAGCAAAAAAGCTTTAACATTCCGTTAAAAATGCTTTAAAAGCCCCGTTTTTCCCATTGTAACGATTAAGCGTAAGGAATTTGTACGCGCGGGTAGCGATTTAAAAAGCGCCGGTTCGTTTTTTGGTTTGCACAACATCCGCGGCCAAAGCTTTTAATGCCAAACGGCAATAAATTGCGTTATTTATATCGTATTTTTTGCTTCCAAACCGGAAAACGTCCGTTTTTGGAATAAAATTTTTAATTGCTTTTGCAAATTTGGCTTGGGTTGTTATTATTATTGCTTGGCACAATCCGGTACTAAACAAAATTAATTAAAATGTTACAATTAAGCTTTTATTTTTAAAGTAAAGCATTAAAAAAGTATCGAATAATAGCACGTAATTTAATAATTAAAGGAATTTACAAAGTAATTTGGGTACGGTTTAAATGCTTGCTTTAAAGTTTACTTAAAAGCTAATTAAAGTTTAACTAATGCCAAAGCCCCAATTAAAAATTACTTAAAACAATAAAAAACCTTTCCTTTTTATACCTTAATGCTTATTCCCTTAAAGCCGTGGATTAATTGGCTTACCAGGCCGATTCCATAAGCCTTTTTAAGCCTTTTTTGAATTAATGGCTTACCTTCCCTGCTTCCCTAATCCACTGATCCCAGGTGGTTACGTAAACCTTACCCCTTACGGTGGTTCCCGTGTCGTGCCACCCTTCCTTCCTGGGCAAAGGTGGTTGTTGGTCGTAACAGGTAATGCTTGCCGGAAAACCGGTATATTAAACGTTAAAAAAGCAAACGTTTGTAACGGTTTTTACGATAAAAGCGAAATTCGTTAACTTTTTGCTTATAAGCTGCGTTTTAATTTAAATTAACGGGATTTTTAACAAAACCAATAACAAACAAGTTAATGCTTTAGTAATGCATATAAATAGCGCTAACGCACAAATAACCGTTTTAAACCCTTTAAATTTCGCTAAAACCCGGATAATTAATTTGCGTTACAAATAAATAATTAACGCAATCCATTGTTGCTTATTTAAATTACGCTTAGTAAGCCTCGTGGTGCAGTGGCTTTGCACCAAGCCGGTCCCGCCAGGACCACGGGTTCGAATCCCGTCGAAACCAAAGGACTTTTTGTTTTTAAGCCCCTGGCCTGCCAAAATCGAAATCCGATAAGGGCCGATAAGCCAAATCAACCAAAAACCAACAACGCCGATAAAACAACCGATAACAACCACAACAACCTTATCGATTTCGATAGC